CGGGGCCGCCGTTTCCATGGGAGCAGCCGGGCCCGGAGCGGGGAGGTCGTGCCAGCGCAGGGCTGCGGGCGGCGGCCCGGGGCCACACACATAGATGTTCGGGTTTTGCGTACTAACAGGCCATAGCTTGTAGAAAATCCCGCGGAACTGCTGCACAGCTCTTCATTCGTGTCTTGAGTTGCAGAAAAGGGTCTCTTTGGCTCTCAAACTGTGAACTGAAATGCAACCTTAATACGACTTATTCAAGTACTGTTAAACAACTCTCATAGGGTCTAAAGCACATTTCATCTGTTTCTTTTGCTGTTTTTTTTTTTCCTCAGATATTGACCACAGTATGGCCCAGTCAACAGATGAAATGTCACTGCAGGTGGTATCAGCCATCAGTAATTCGTCCTTGCTTCAGCCAGGCTTCTCTCTCCTGAATTTTGATGGGCATGTTTTCTTTTTTGGGCAGAAAGGATGGCCAAAGAGAGCTTGTCCCACTGGTGTTTTCCTCCTAGATATAAAGCAGAATGAGCTTAAAATGAAACCTGCCTTCTTCTCTAAAGACTCCTGTTACCTCCCCCCTCTCCGCTACCCTGCTCTTTGCACACTCAGAGGCAATGCAGGGTCTGATGAGTACCAGTATATCATCCATGGTGGGAAAACGCCTAACAATGACCTTTCTGATAAGATTTACATTATGAGTCTGGTAAGCAAAACCAGCAAGAAAACCACGTTCCAATGTGTTGAGAAAGACCTGGGCGGAGATGTCCCTGAAGCTAGATATGGTCATACAATTAACGTAGTTCATAGCCGGGGAAAAAGCATAAGCGTTCTGTTTGGAGGGAGATCATATACTCCTCTTGCACAAAGAACCACCGAAAAATGGAACAGCGTAGTTGACTGTTTGCCATCTGTGTTTCTCGTTGATTTTGAGTTTGGATGCTGTACATCATACAAACTTCCAGAGCTTCAAGATGGACTTGCTTTCCACGTTTCAGTTGCCAGAAATGATACTATCTACATTTTGGGAGGCCATTCACTTCAAAATAACACCAGGTCCCCCAGCTTGTACAAGCTAAAAGTTGATCTCCCACTGGGCAGCCCAGCCGTGACCTGCACCATCTTGACAGGGGGGATATCTGTGTCAAGTGCTATAGTGACTCAAACCGGTGATACCGAATTTGTCCTTGTCGGGGGCTATCAGTCTGACAACCAGAAACGGTTGGTTTGTAACACCATAATTCTGGAAGATAATAAGATAGAGATTGTTGAAAGGGCGAGCCCAGACTGGACACCAGATATTAAACACTGCAGGATGTGGTTTGGCTGTGATATGGGCAAAGGATCTGTATTGCTGGGCATTCCAGGAGCCAACAAACAGTTAATCTCAGATGCAAACTACTTCTACATTTTGAGATGCAAAGGAGCAGAAGAGGACAAGGAGGAAGAACTGACAGCACAAATTTGCAGTCAGACATCAACCGAAGACCCTGGAGACTCTACTCCATTTGAAGATTCAGAAGAGTTCTGTTTTAGTGCTGAAGCCAACAGCTTTGATGTTGATGATACTGATACTTACAATGAAGGTGATGAAGATGAATCAGAAACAGGCTACTGGATCACCTGCTCTGCCAGTTGCAGTATTGACATTAACACCTGGGTCCCTTTCTATTCGACAGAACTCAACAAGCCTGCAATGATCCTGTGTTCCAGCGGGGCTGGCCACTGGGTCCACGCACAGTGTATGGATCTCTCAGAGACCATGCTCCTACGTCTCTCAGAAGCAAACGTCAAATACTTCTGCAATGAGCACATTGACCTTAATAAAGGGCTACAAACTCCCAAAAAGGTAGTGCACCTGAAAAAGCAACCCATGAAACCATTGCGCAAAAAAACAACCATGAAGTTGTCAACGCCAGTGAAAAAGTCCTTTCTTCGCAGATTGTTTGAATAGATTTACATTGCTGATTTGTATTCACCTGGGAGGAAGTGAAATCACAGTCAAAGACAGCTAGTAATGGTTGAAGTAGAATGGGTTATTGGAGCTTGAAGAGATCTTTTTATTTAATTTATTTCAATTATCTCAATATTTCAGTTGCATTTCAAATCTCCTGAATTTATTTTGTCTCTTATGTGTGTTTTTTTAATATCCAGATAGAAACCCCATCATAGAGGGCATTGTGCAAACAGACAGCCAGATACTGGTAACTGTGCTGTATTTTATGCTATAACTTACTCCCTGGTTGGTTATCCCCAGTGATTTTAATGGGACTGCTGGTATGATTAGACATTATCCCATGTACTCAGTGCTGTTAGCATCTGTCCATAAAGAACATTATATTAGCCATTTTAATTTTTTATCTTAGTGAGTAGTTCTAGAAATATTTGGCCTATTTTACAGCTGCATTACTTCCAATTTTCTGTGGATGTAATGAAATAGAATTAGACTAATTACTCTGGTTTTAAACTAAAGTGATGGCTTAAGTCCCTTGTGTCAGAAATAATGAAATATTCAGACACTGAGGGTCAGTTTTCTTCAGGGACTTCCATTATGGAAAGCTTACATATGGAGTATTTAATTCTGCATAATTAATTTTTGATTTTGAGAGGTATTGAATGATTGATTATATGTCAGTTTTGGCTACAGTTGTGGAATATCATCTCATAGTAAAAATCAAATTGCTCTTTTAAATGACTTGCTCAACAACTGCTTTGTGTTTGTATTTTTAAAAATCTAGTAAGCTAATAAAATTTATAACAAAAATGACTGCATTTTTTTCACCTTCTTATGGGGTAAATCAAACACTGTAAATCCTAAAGTCTATGAAAGGACAGCATGTGTGTTTGGGAGGTCCATCTGAAGTCTGATGAGGGGTCTAGCTTCACAGCCACCACATGCTGTGAGCTCCCATTGACTTCAGAAGAAGTTCATTCTGATGAACAGGACTTTTATCATTTACTCAAGGTCCTCCACTATATATTTCTTTCTCTGCTCTCCCAGGGTGACTGTGTAGAGTGTGAAAGCTTAAAAGTGCAAGCTGTAGCTCAGAGTGACTCATTGAGCCAGTGGAGCATTGTGAGGGTGGAAACAAATGCAGCTGGCTGCTCAAAGCATGAGGAGAAGATTGGATTCAGATTGAAAAGGACATTGTCAAGGTTGAATAGCCCAAGAGTTTACTAAGTTTTTTGTAGATTCTTCTAAAAACCTATAAAGCCTCATCATTCTTGACTTTTTTTATTTTTATCACTGCTCCAAACATCTTTTCAAAAAATCAATACCACCAGCTCAACGTTTGTGAGCCAACAATAGTAGCACAGTATTCACAGTCCAGTATTCACAGTCCAGCTCTCGTGCTGGACCCCTGCATAAAAAAGAAAGAAGCAGCTGTCAGCCATTTGATCACTATGTGCAGACACTGAGCAGTCACTCCTTTACAAAGCAGCACGTGTAGCACAGTAGCCCTATCAGTGCAGACATGTATGCACAGTACTTCCCTTAAAACCTTCACAACTCAACAGCAGAGGGAAGTAAAGGGCAACCATACAAAGTTTCCATTTCCAACCTTTTCATGTGCTGAAGGAGGTTATAATTTGGGTAGAACTTGTAAATGGTAAGTATATAACCCTGACTGCCCTCTTACCAGTCTGATATTTGTATAAATTCACAGATTTCAATGCCAGCTTCCTGTTTCCTTTGTCATGCTACTTTACATAAGCTCAGAATATATAGTGCTATATGTTTTTCCAAAGAATAAATGAATATCATGCACATGTAACGTCCCTTCAAACTGGTGAAATTCAGTAGTCAACATCCCCTTTTGTAGGTTAGTCATAGGTCTTACTCAGATGAATTGTCATTAAAACATACATTCATCATGCACTCATCATAGGCTTCATTTACATCAGCAACAAAAAATCCACACCAAAATTAAAGCCACATCACAAACAAAGGGGGACGATATACTCACAAAACAAAACTCCACCCCTTGTCCCTTCACCATTTTACAACAACAAAAGAGTCCCCACAATTATTGAACTCCCTGGAAATGTCCAGTCCACGTTTTCATCTGATACCTCTCACAGTTACTGTAATTATCGTCAGATCTGTTATCCATTCCTCAGATCCCACATTGTGTGACGAATTTGACTGCTAGTGCAAATAAAAGGATGGAAACATTTTCCAAAGGGAAAGCTTGACACTGGCCTAGCAGAAGTGATGTTCAGCCTGAGATAAAACTTGGTGGCTCAGGCACTGGTTGTGTGGTCGCAGTATGTTGGGAGCACCTCTGAATTTCCAGAACTGACTCCTGGAGCTGCAGTGACTCCCTGAGCTCCTAGGAGCCGAAAGCAGGTGTGCTCGGCATGTGGCAAGCACAAGTACATACTGCTGCCCCTTCCAATTCTTACCTGAGTTGTTGTTCTTTAAGGCTGTGGCTATGAAAAAAAGCAATTCAGTCAGACTTTATGGTAATTCTTATCAGGCCCATAATGCTAGTGTATTGTATATTTGAGCTGTGCTTTTTTTAAATGTATGGTTTATTTGAGTAGGAGGGAGAAATTACTTGGTCAAACCATCTCCCAGTGTCACAGTGAAGGGCAGTACAAGCAGCCTTAAATCACACCTCAGAGACTGTAGTCATTGCAGGAAGAGAAAGTCATAAGTGAAGTAAAATACAATATTCCAAAGGTCTTGAACATAAAGAGATATATGAACATCATCCTGTAAAGAAGATAATTGACATAGCATTCAAGACTTCAGAAAGTACTTAATTCCCTGATAATTCTGATGGTACTTTTAAGTCATGTACTTGTTAGAGCATTGATTGTCTTCAAAACCAGTTAATCAATGTGAGATGTTTCTTCCTCAGGCAGGTTAGAATTAGAAGATAAAATGAAGCTGATTTGAGTGCAGAAGTAAATCTCTATTGTATCTGCATCAAACTGACCTGTGTGTTTTGTAACCACAATAATCATCATCATGATTCCCAGACACATTTCAGTAACACTATGTTGTTATTATCAGCTTTTACAAGAATAATATATGGATTTTACCGCTATTGAAAGGTGCTAACACCTGATTAATCTACAGGAAAGGCATGGCACAAATTTCAGTGGTAGCACTAAAGCATGTGTCATAGTTCAGAGTGACTCATTGCACAAACAGGCCATTGAAAGGAGTGGAAATAATGCAACTGTGAGCCCAAAGCAAAAGGAAAAGATTGAATCCAGATTGAAAAGGAATCTGCAAAGTTATTTACTGCTAGACTCAGTGTATTGAAGACAGAAGGACTGGCTTACTTCTTTTTTCTCATGATTGGTGGCTATAGCTCCCTCCATATTTGATTTCCTACCCTATCCCATTTCAAATAAGACTAACTTCTGGGAAGGGCTTGAGCAACACCAATTTCATGTCTCTACTTGACATTTGAAAATCATGACACCGAAGCCCATTTTTTCTTTTAAAGAAGAGAAGACAATAGCCTTATAAACCTTCCAATTTCTCATTACATATGCATATACAGGAAGAACAGGACACTGGCCATTACCACAGGTGTGCAGGACCTCCTTCAGGTTGTAGTTATAGTGTATTTCCTTGTCCACTAGCTCAGAATGCCCCTCTTCAGAGAAAGAGCTGGGAATTGAAAATATACCTCTCTCCCGATGCTGTTAGAAAAGGTGCTAAGTAAATCTTTTCTAATGTGTCTTTTTGTATTATGGACAATGTTAAGCTTGATGCAGAAGCTAGAAAAGCTCCCACACTTAGGAGTTGCAGCTGGTCAGCTGTTTGAAAATTATGCCATATTCAATCACCTAAAACCTCTGAAGAATAACAGTGGCAGGCCTCATTATTCTTCATCTGATCCCCATTCTAACAGGAATACATGGAAAGTAAAATTCAGTCAATTATCACAGATTTAGGAATAGAGGAGTTAAAGCATCCTAATTTACAAGAAAACTCTCTGAGACTTGTTTTTTGTTTTATATGGGTTCTGTTTTTTCCATCCAACGTTTTTTATTCAAGGTCAGCTGAAAGAACTAAGTTGGTGATATGAAGTCCAGAAATTAGATGTCTAATTACCTGATTGTACAAGGAAATCAGGTAGCTTAATTTGCTCATCATTAATTCCATGCAGACCAGTTGGTTTACATAAGTCTTTTGACCCTGAGATATCATTGCAGGGAAGAAAGAAAGATTTTCTTAAGTGGAATAAAGGGAAGCTACAAATCATCAACTGAAAGGCGGATTGGAACTAATCTTTGCAGCTCAGTCTGTGACGAGGAGCCAAAATCTGATGCAAAGAATGCACAGAAGCCAGTAAAAGAGGCTTAACATATTAGCATGGGCAAAACAGTGCAAGGATGATTTAAACAAACACTGGGATGGTATTTGTAAATGAAGCAAAGTTCATTTATGAACTAAATAAAACTCTTTTTAAATTAGTTTAGTTTTCCGTCAACCAATTATCTGTGAGGAAAGGTGCTGAAAGGACTGCTGAGACTCACAGAGTAATCTTCACTTGTGTTAATTAAGTGGCTTCCAGAATAGGGCTGGAATCACAGCTGTAGTCTCTGGGTGTTAGAACAGCCTAAATATGAAATGCATCTACAGTTTGAATGAAAAATAAGACAACGAAATTATGTGCGTAGTTTAAAAACTGGTAAGAAATACAAATCCGGAAACTTAAATAACACCTTTATTTTAAACAGGTTTCATTAATTAAGAAACTGTAATATAGTAAGAAAAAGTAAAATGATGAAGCCGTGTGGTGAAACAAAGCACAGGACTCAGTGTAGTCAGAAATTAGGATGCTGTAAATATCTATAATTTATTTCTGAACTACCTGACTAAAAGTCAAAGATTTGCTTTGCTTAAAGTCAATTGAATTATTCCTGTGAGGAAAAAAATATGTGAGACCAGAATCATGGCTTCTAACATAGTTCACATTGTTTCATGACATGGCAATTCACAATATAAAGCCCTAGAACAAAATCAAACAAAACAAGATACATAATGTGATTGTATAAAAAATACAATCAATGCAATTTTAGAACAAGAAAATTATTCACCATGAATTACTGAAGGATTTGTACAAAGTATTAATGTAAAAAAGAAAACGTGAAGGTTTGAAAGAGTACCATGAATAAAAGTGTCTCCACTTTTCTGAAACCTCTTTGAAATCAAAAAGCTTAACAATAGACTGCATAACCAAATGGTGCATCTGTCTGCAGCCAGAATTTATTTGCCTTCCAATGCATGGCTGTGTGCATGCAGCATTGTTATTTTATTCCTGTTTACAAAAGCTTCTCTTGCAGGTACCTACCTTTTCAGTACTGTTTGTTCTAATGAGTTCAAAACTCTCACAGAGAGTCTCTTGATTTACAGAAAATGTCAACAATGGGGAAAAAAAAAGATTAAACTATGTTCAAGTCTAAAGAAAAGAAAAGAAAAAAACCCATAGTAGTAGTTCTCTGTGTCAGATATCCTACCCAGAGCTGGTGGAATGTGAAATGTGTCTTGATGGCTTAATAATATTTCGCAAAAAAATACTTTCATATACCGCAGCATTCCTCTGTCCCTGACCAGGTTCTGTTCGGTCTGATGAGTTACCCCAGGATATAAGCCTAGAAATCATACATATATGGATAAAATTTACTCAACCCTTTTGAAGGCAGTGAGACGAATCACTTGCTGATATATCAGCAGCTTGTTAAAGTGAATTTGGAATTTGAAAATGTCAATGGAGTCACTGAAATTACATGTGCAAAATGAACAAATTCTGGTCTGTCACTACCGTGGTACATACGCTGTAGTGAATGAATGGCTCTGGATTACCTGGGGGTGAAATTCACTTCTGTGCAAAAGGCAGCAAAAACTGTATATAACACTTAAGTGGAGTGAAAAACACCATGAAGTGAGTCGAGACTGTTAAACTGGGCCCTAGGTTATTCAAGCAGAGTCAAGGATAAAACATAAAGTACAGTTTAAAAACATATAATAAAACATAATACAGTTGTCCCGAATATCCATACAGGGAAAAATGGAAAGTGTGCAACAATTTACATAGTGAAATATATGCCAATCAAAAATGCAAGCTATATCTGCAGTTACTGATAAAGGATGCTCTTTATACCTGATATTTATACTCCCTTGGAAACAGCTGTACTTGTCTGCATTTATTGGTAAAGAATGATACTTATGTAAACCTGGTATTTATTCTCTATGGGAAATACTTGTTTTATTAGAAGAACTGAAAAAAAAAAATCTAGAAATGAACACTCAGTAAGTGCAGATGCACATGTTACTCCATACAAAAGACGCTGTAGTCCTTATGAATGCTTAGAAAAGTAAATGTTTTAAGTAAAAGGCATTATTTCTGACTGCAGATTTTGACATAATGTTAAACTATGTTTAAAGAAACCATATTAAAACAAAATCCTAAATTACAAAATACTTTATAAAATAGTATGTTAATTAATAAAATTTTTAAAAACCCATAATCAGAATAACACTAATATTTGTAGTAATTGCTAAAACTTAACTCTATTTTTTCATTGTCTATAAATGGTAAATACCAAACCTTCAAAGTTATAGTAAATAACATGAACAAGATACTACTAAACAAACCTCAGACCATTAATTCTTTAAATTTGTTTTTCACTTAAACTCACAAACCAACTTCTCCCCCATCAAAATAAAAATAAAAAGTGGATTCTTTTAGATCCATGCTTTGATTGTTTTTGCATTTAATCTTGTTTCAGAAATATTTCTCCGAACACAGTGATGCCCTAGCTACAGGTGCAAATCTGAAAAGCTAGATGATTTTGAGGCATCTCAGCTATTTTTAAGTATATTTCATTAATATGTCATTGAATTAAATTCATATAATTTTAGTATATGAATATATTAAATACCACTTCAGAAATGCAAATACCACCAACAAAATCATACATCTAATATAGTGTGGATAAATACCAACTAAACAATGCTGTAATAATGTAAAATACAGTATGCAGTAATTTCAAGGCAGTTCATTACTTTTTAACTAATCTTGTATGCAAACTATGTTTGAGGTTAATAAATATCATTCCTCCTTTACAGATTTGGAAAATTAGACTGCGAGTGTGGTGTATCCCCGGTGTGAAAAAGTGGGGTATCAGATACAGTTGGAGCACATCAGCAGCAGTCAGTAAAAAATCTTAGTAGAGAAGATCAGAACACTGACATGTGTGTGATGAAGGTAATACCCACCTCCTGAGAAATGGGTCTGCTGTGACTAAAGTCACTTGGTGAAACTGTGGGCCTGCTGGTATTAATGATGATTTACTGGTGATTTCAGTGAGGCCAGGAATTCCCCCAATAAAACTCTACTAATACAAATTATACTGTATACTGAAGTTACCATAGAAATCTAAAATGCTCATGAAGCAACAAGCTACACAGCAGAGCTTGAATGTACTTTGTATAGTGAGATAACCACAAGGCACTGTAAATCGTGATTTAGGAGCACAAATGCAAATTTGCATTTTAGAGTAAACAGACTATGATAAAAATATCTTTAAAAAATTCCAGCTACCTTTCCTATATCTTCATATAGTAAATTAGCATGGTGATACCACCATCTACTCCTAAGCAGTACTACAATATAAATGTAAAATAATCTTATTTTTTAAAGTTTGTGAGATCAAAGTTTGCAACTTTAGTCAGTATTTTATACAAAAATAACTGAACTTTATCCCAAAACAATTATCCAAGTGCCTCTCTGATGAATCTTTGCTTATAAAAGCCAAAAGACTGTCAATAATATAATCAAATCCTCTTAAAAAGGAAATAGCAAAATAGTTTAAAAAATGCAAACAGAACAAATAGCCATGCTCCTTTTTCAGCAACTGTCATTACTCTCCAGAATCATATCCATTCCAAAATATTACTTTATATAAAACCTTGCTTACTTTGTCTTTCTCACTTATAAACAACACTCTAAGACCAAAATAAACTGAAGACCCTTCTTTGCAATTTGTATCTTTCATCTCACATAACAACTGGTAAATGCAGTATTGCATTGCCTCTTTTGGAAACTCCCAACAGAAATGGTGTTTATTAAACTCCACTCAGCATCTTTAACAGGCAGTGTAAAAATGATCATTTCAGACTTCCCTGTACCTCTACCTCCTGAAAAAGAAGCAGCCTCCTTGCAGGAAGACACCATCACAAACCCAAACCAAATGTGCTTTACATTTAGAGTTCTGCTGAATCATTGCTTTCCAAGGAGACCTCCAGTGGCAAGGAGTCACCTGAATTATCCTCTGGATCAATCGTGAAGCCCTGGCTTTTTAATGTTTTATGAGCATTCATGAACTTCTGGAGATATTTAGAGGTATATAGCCAGTGATGCTTCAAAACATCCTCCATCTCATAGCATTTGGACTGCCTGGCATTCATTTTTCGGAACCTCCTAAACAGTTTGTTTCCAGACTCATTTCCTTCACTTGCCCAGGCACCAATGGACCCATCTCTTTCAATGATTTCAGGAACATGAGCAAGGGTTTTGTGGAAATAATTTGTAATCTTGCCTTCATATCTGTACTTGAACTTTGTAGATAGGAGCTCAGCAAAACGCTGTGAATTGTAGCTATACTGGCACAGCAATTCTGGACACTCCTTGGCAGGACATGAAGATCGCCACACTGGCTTCATCTTCAGATAAAGGTCCATTAGTTCTTTTAGGGCTTTATGCCTTTCCTCACACTTTATCAATTCACATACTGCCTCTACTGTCTCTTTGGACATGAGCTTTCTAGCAAAATTTCCACTCATCCTCATCATAGGCTTCAAGTTCATCTTCTTCCTGAGATGTTTATCAAGAGTCAATTGCCACCTCTTCCTCTCCTCTTTAGACACATCAGGATTCTTGTAAACTTCACCAATTTCCATCTGGAAAATCCTGTAAAATTCTGTTGCATTGCCAATGTCACAGTGCAATGCATCTATGGAGGCAACAGTCTCAATAAAAGGTTTGGCTGAAACACCCTTCACTCTGTCACGGAGCTCATCAACAGATTCGTGATATGGGTTGGACCTCCATATTTCATATCGCTCCAGATTTTCAGCATGGCTCCTGGTTATGGAGTGGAAGACCAGATTCTGGGACGCCTCCAGGCGGGTTGCATCACACAAGGTACAAATGTAAGTGGAACCTGAGGCCTCCAGCCCTTCCACTTCTCGCACAAGCTTCTCATCATATCCTGTGCCCCTAAAGATGAATTTGAATGTTCTCAGGATGCCTCCCATTTCAAGTAACAGTTCACTGTTTTTCATAGACTCTCTTTCTGCTATGAGGGGGCTCAGGATTGCTGTGAGAGTTTCATGATCCGATTCATCAGCCAGCATAAGGCACAAGGGCTTGCAACACAACTCTGAATTGGGCTTTACTTCTTCAAAGATCCTCTTGCTTTCATTCCCATGGGCTATAGCAATGTTCATGACTGTGAAAGAAAAGCGAACAGCCTTCTCTGGGACAGCAGGACCACTTCCATGCTTCTCGCTGACATCTCCCATTCCATCACAGGACTCTTTTACTACCACAGTGAAGGGACCATTCAAGTAGTCATCCAGGTTTTTTGCTTTCATGCCTTCCAAGATCTCCTCCTCCATGTCCTTTAAGGCACAAACTAAGGCTGCATCATATCGAAATCTCTTTGCAATTGTGTCTACTGGGTAGTCATCAATTGAGAGTGGCAATCCTGATAGTCCATCTATAATTCCCACTTCTGTATTAGTGGATACATTTTTCAAGGGAGGTTTCCACTCAAACGGGTGATAACCTGGTAGGAGGGCTTTCTCAGCAGTGCGAAGAGCATGCAAAGGCTGGAAGATCTGCCTCCCAGTGACAGCTTTTACTGTTCTATACATTTTATGATATTGGCTACAGCTGAGAAATGTGTTGACTCGGATTGCCAGGCAGACAGCAGGGTGAAGTCCAGATCCCCTCCCTTGCATTATAGCCTCCAATTCATCTGCTTGTCTGTGTTCATTTTTTGCTCTTAAAGCTAGCAAGAACAGTGTCATGCATACAGCCTTTATATCACCGCCCTCTTCTTTCTCAGCAAAAGCTTTGACTTGACGTTTCAGTTCTCTCAGACGATGTTTCTGAGCTCTCCTGGTCAGAGATAGGAGATGCTGCCTTGGTCGGCCACCTTTATTTATGTGGCAGTAGAGCTCTTTATCTTTCATCTCCTTGTGGCTGGAGAGGTGTTGGCCATATTTTCCATACAAGATCTCTTCATCACATTCCTTTACAGGGCATCTTATACCCAGGCTATCAAGGATGTTCAGGAAGGATTTCACTGGGGTTACCAGATCAGTAGGGAAACAAGGATACCAGCAGGAGGGGCAATAGCTGCCCATAACCTTGACACATTTAAGGATGCAAGTTCTGCAAAACAAATGTCTACATGTTGTTTCCACTGGATCTGCCAAAATATGCTCACAGATCTGGCAAGAGATGGATTTAATGAAATCTACTGGGTAATCAACTGCAAGCAGCTTGGTGCTGAGATGTATATTCTTGCAACTGACAACCTCTTTCATTAAATTTTTGTTGTTTATCTGTGCTTGGTTCTTTTTGCCTCTGTTTATTCGAGCATGTTCTGCAGTGGTCTTCACACGTTTGCTATATTGTACACTGGGTGGCTGGCTTTTTCTCTTGACTCCCCAACTGGTAGTGTGGCACACATCACAGTTTGGGGAGTGGGGTTGCCACTCCATCGTGCTGTTCCTAGGAAAATATACTTCACATGGAGTATTACTGAATTTTCTATGGATAATACTCCAGCAGTTGTGACAAAATCGAGTGGGATGGATAGCATCAACATCCCCTCGCACATCAATCTTAAAAACCTTAGTGATAAGATCTGGCCAAGAGGTTGCTTTTTTCTCTTTCTTTCTCAGAAGCCACAGAGTTTCATCATCCACAGGCCCATGCACCGGATGACTTCTCTTGTAACAATCAGTTTTAAATGAAACTCCACATATGCGGCAAAGTTCTTTCAGTTTGTTCTGATGAGCTTTATTGTCTTGTGTTTTCATGTCATTGGTATTTTTCTCAGGTGCCTGCCTATTGCCCATTAAGACCATCTTTTCTCCTGTTGGTACTGCTTCATCTTTATGCAGTATGATTTCTTTGTTTGAAGAAGTGACCTCTTCTGCCTGAGCTTTGCTTCTGTGCTGGCTATCATCAGAAGGTGTTTTTTCAAATGATCTCACTTTAAACAACTTGAATTTCCATTCAGAAAATTTTGTATATGGATGCTGAATTTCTTCAGGCAGGTCCATTTGTGATGCTACTGACATCTCCAACCTGTCAGAACCAGATCACCTAAGAAAGAGAAAGGAGCCGTTAGGTTAGTTTATCTTCCAAAATTAATAATAATGTCATGTTTTTTAATAGAACAGTTCTAATCACTTTAAGTGAGAAATGCATTGAAAGTGACTTACTTGTCCAAGACACCTACTGAATTGAGAGGCCCAGGACTGGCTGTCTACTCAGTATCTCAGATAAGTACCTAAAAGTGTCTTGACTTTGATCCTGAGGCATCCACATGTCTATTAGATCACCGATGTACCTTACATAAAGGCATTAGTCATCTGGTACGAAAATCTGCCCTTTTCTTCTCACACCTGACTGAGTTTGCCATAAATAAAGCTACTATGGTCAAGAGAATTACATTCTGAAGGTTTGGTGACTTTTTAGTATGAAACTGAACTCAACTGGTGTCTGAAAGACAGAATTTTGTCTGCCTTATGCTATTATCTAAATCAGCAAGACCACTGCACTCACACCACTTCCTTAGTCCTTGATCTGAAGTGTCTCATATATGCCATTCTACATGGGCAGAGCAGCATATACTACTCAATCCCAGCATAGACTTTATTCAGGCCCCAGTTTTGTAAGGTACTTTAGAATGTGCTTAATGAATGTGTGTAGCTTCATTAAAGCAGGAGGAGTGTATCCTCTGTTGATGCAAAGTTCCCTAGAATCTAAAGGACATATGGCAATTTATATTGTCTGCAGATTTGCTCTAGAGAGAATATTTAAACTTTGTAAGTTAGTCATCTGTTTAAGTACCCTGCTGAGAACTCTCTCTGTAGGGATTACTGGTACTGGAAAGCTGAAAATGTCTGTTCAAATTTGACCCCAATTTTAGCTTTCGTAGAGATGCGTCCAAAAGCAATATCAATGTGGTTGCCATGGAAATATGGTATTGTATAAAAATAAATACAAGACTTTCACCTCAAACACTGAAACTTTTTACTACTGCATCAGATTTAGAAAACAAAAGTGTGTAACAACAAAATTAACTAACCTGTTTTTCATTACCTGGCTATGTGAAGTGCACAAAGTAAACAAACAGTATAGAGAAGATTAAGTTATGTTTTCTATTTATTTTGGTTTTACTGACCTGGTTAATAAATATATAATAAATATAAATTAAGACTACATACTAGAACTAGAAATGATGTGGGTATGGCTGTGGTTTCTTTAATTGATTATATTGCCACTTAGCAATTCACATAACTTGCTAGAAATCTGTTTAGTGTCTATTCAGAAGGTGTCCTTCATAAGAAATATATCTAAGTTATGGTCTAAAGTGATGATAACCAGGGTGTTTCTGAGACTAGTTCATTTATAACCTTTTAATAAAGCATTATTTCAGTACAGTCTTTCAGAGTCCGTTAGTAAAGAACTGCATGCTTTGATTAAGTCCCAGATCCAGAATGACGTACCAGTCTGCTCAGCTCTTTCCTTAAGACCTGTGGTTAACTTCAAAATCATTCATTAGGCCTTGGCATTTAAAATTTAGGTTTGTTTTCTTCCCATCTTCTCTTCATTTCGTCCCACTGAGAACAAGCTGCCCATACCACTGTCCCCATCTGCCTGCATTGCTCTGTCCAGCTGCCTATGCTACTAAACATCTCTGTCCACGCTGTGGTCCCCTGCTGTCCGTCATGGATCCAGCCTGGCAACATGCTTGCTTGTATTCTGCTGTTCATGGATCTGTGATGTGCATCTGTGCCCAGATGTATTCAGAGCATTACTACAGTCTCATTTTCTTGGCTGTGTCCTGTTGCAGTCTTGGTGAAATCTATAAAGAGCAATAGCCCGTTTGCCCCTGAATAGTCCTGCGCTCCGATTAACTGCAGAGTAATTGAGCAGCTAATTGCTCTATACTGTCGGCAGATCCTTGTCTTCCACATAACACCCTATACAATTTTGTGTAATTTCACCATCTCCAGCAGCACCTTCAGAATCTCTTAAACCATGACCAATGCCTCCTCGGTGTGGTATATAAGTCATTGGAAAGAAACAGCCAGCACCAAGTACACGTAGAGCAAAACATTTAATACTTTCTCTACTCTTCTAAGCCTTTGACTAAAGTGCCACCGTAGTGCCATACTCATCTCCAAATCCATGACCTAACTCTTGCTATTAATCACCAGCTCCTATGAATCAGACAGGGTTTACCCCTGCTAAAGAAAATTCAAGTGTTTTTTTCTTTTTTTCTCTTTCATACCCGGGAAGAAATGAATGACAAAGAAGCCCTCTCAGGTCACCTGACCTTCGCCTTCTGCAGTAGATAATTGTTGCCAACAGACTACTCATCAAATGCTTTGAATTGCCTAGCTCCCAGGCAGTGGAGATTTCAGCAGCTCTCTTGTGAGAGCTAGAAATATTCACAGTGCTAGGAATATTTCCTGCTACTCATGCTAAATTTTCCCGTGGTCTGTTTTTCTAGTTGGGGATCACACTGAACAATCTGTCTCCTCCCTGCCTACTCCACTCAGATTCTTACAGAGTGAATCCCAGGCATGAAACCCCGGCCGTGGTTATTTAATTGACTCTGACAGCTGTGTTCAGTATTGCTTCTTTTTATCTTGAAAAGGGAAAAGAAATCCCTTTTCTTCCTAGTTCACAATATTTCATACATTTCTGAAGATGAGCAAGATTGCAATACGTTTCCTCACATCAAGGAAGACCTTGTTTTATAGATAGTCTCACCGAGGTGAACAGAACAACCTCTGAGGTGAGGAAGCATATATAAAATAAAATCATTGACCTGCACATTAAACCAGGAAAACAAACCAACACTCAGATGTCATACAAGCATCTGGGATGCTGTCATTAATACTGCTAACCTACCTTCAGCTCACTGTCAGTTTGTAGAACTGCTGCTATGTCTTCTCAGTTTGCTCCAAATGTCAAGCTTGCTTGCTCTCTCGCCTGCATGCTCTTGCTCTTTCTGTGTTCCCTCTGCTTTTTAAAGACACTGCAGTGCTGTTTATCTCATTTATCCCTGTCTGTCCGAGCTCCCAGTACCGCCCTGGTGCTAACCACACGTTATTTCAACTAAACACAATACAGAACTCTCAAATCCAGGTGGCACCTGGCAATTTGAGGCTTAACCACAAAATTCATATAAACAAGGTCTTCTTGTGTGAGACTCCTGGGCTCTGAGATAAGTATGCAGACTCTCTCTGAGGAGCACCTGCACTGTTTTTTAACACAAAGTTTTGCATTTGTCTTGCTTCTTTATAGTTTCAGAGCTGGTGTCTTCACTGTTAACTCTCAGGCAGGAGAACTTGATGTCTGGTCACACCACTGTCCCACACCATTTCATTGAAGGCCAATGATCTGCTTCCTCAGGTCAACAGCAACCAGTCTTCTGGGGTTTGGGTGAATTGACAATGGGGATCACAAAATGTCCTTTTTTCTGATACCAACATTTAATTTTCAAGGTTATTACCTCTTTGGTGATGTACATCCGGAGTCTTAAAGACCCTGGGCAGGGAGGATAACTCAACAATTTAAAAGCTAGCTATATACATATTGAGTAACTGGTAGATTCTACAACAGGTATAGGCCACAGGTGGCCTCAAACAGCAGGCAGTAGAGTCTCTTTTCTGGAGAAGCCTAGTTGAACACCCATGCTTATTTTCCACAGAGAGTCAGTTCCAAAAACTGACTCAAAGTGGAAAGAAAACAAATTGTCACACAATAGCACCCTGAAAGTTTTCAGTCTCCACACATAACATTGTGCAAAAATTCTAGTGATCCATCAAGTCCTTCCAACTGTGAACATAAGTTCACACTCCAGAAGTAGGAATTTGCAATAACAGCATAACTACATAAACACCTACCGAAGCATTTCCCTTTCTCAGGGGACTTTGTGGTCTGACAGGACTCAAATCCATTTCTGACTTGCACTCTCTTCCCTGACAAGGTGGCTCTGAGGGTGGCCACTGTGCTTTCACTGAGGCTCAGGATCTCCCAGTTAATATGTCTCCTACCTGACAGCATCTTACACAACACTGATAGCAGCCAGAGGGAAAATCAGCCAAAGTTGTAATATTTGGCGTTTGCTATAGCTAAAAGAGGTGAGAGGTTTCCCTCTCTATTATCCATTCTGATCTTACAATGCTACCAACTCTTAGTATCATAGAATCACTTATGTTGGAAAAGACCCCTAAGATCATCAAGTCCAACCGTAAACCTAACACTACCAAGTCCACCACTTAACCATGTCCCTAAGCACCCCACCTACACATCTTTTAAATACATCCAGGGATGGTGACTCAACCACTTCCCTGCATAGCCTGTTCCAATGCTTCACAACTCTTTTGGTGGAGAAACCTTTCCTAATATCTTATCTAAACATTCCCTGGTGCATCTTGAGGCCATTTCCTCTCATCCTATCGCTGATTACTTGGGAGAAGAGACCAACACACACCTCCCTACAAGCCCCTTTCAGGTATTTGTAGAGAGTGATACAGTCTCCCTTCAGCCTCTTCTTCTCCAGACTGAACAACCCCAGTTCCCTCAGCCGCTCATCTTAAGACGTGTTCTTCAGACCCCTCACCAGCTTTGTTGCCCTTCTTTGGACACGCTCCAGCACCTCAGCATCCTTCTTGTAGTGAGGGGCCCAAAACTGAACACAGGATTCGAGGTGCGGCCTCACCAGTGCTGAGTACAGGGGCACAATCACTTCCCTGCTCCTGCTGGCCACACTGTTTCTGACAGAGGCCAGCATGCTATTGGCCACCTTTGACCACCTGGGCACACTGCCGGCTCATGTTCAGCCGGCTGTTGACCAATGCCCCCAGGTACTTTTTCACCAGGCAGCTTTCCAGCCACTCTTCCCCAAGCCATTCTTGTAAGATGATGTCTTGGAGAAGTGGTTAGTCCTGAGTCTGTGTGCCACACAAGAGGCCAACAATTCCTCAGTAACCAAGTGTAATGATTCATGCCAAAGCAAGTAATGTATGGAGAGAGTAAAAAATGTACGGGGACAAAC